TTTTATCCTAAATATAAGTCACTTATAAAATATATAATTTAATTAATACTAATTATTTTCTAATTTTGTCTTCATTTAATTCTCATTAAAAAGAAAAAAAAAGAGGAAAAAAATGTGAGAATAATGTGTATAGAAAGAAAATCTTCGTTCCCATCTCAACATCATCTTCATCAACTGACAAAGGGAGCCCCCCGCCATCTCCATTGACGCCTCAAATGCCGTGTCGTTTTCATCCCAATTCATATATCATCTTTAAGATCGGCATTTCCTAGCATTTAATTCTAATTAATATAAACTTTTTTGGCAAACCCTACTCCTCTGATTTTGTTTATAAGGTAGAGAAAAATATATATTTTTTACTTTTATCTATAGAATAATGAGAGAAATTTTCATATAAAGATACAATTTTATCTTTCATTTATTATTATATTGATTTTGTTTATATGAGATATAATGTATATTTAACAAGGATAAAGTTAAAAAGTTGATGAATTTTAAATAAAAATTAATAAAAATTAATTTTTTTAATTTATGTAAAACATATTAAAAATAGGTGGGATTTCACATTAGGTATAGAATGAATACAAACACCACTATAAATTGAATGTTATCTCTCATAGATCCTTTCCACGCCTAAGCCAAAGTTGCTCCCACAGTCCCACTTGCGTTTTCCATCGGGTTTTCTCACCCGCCGCCCAACCTCTAGCCATTTGTATTTATTTATAGAAAAATTAATTTGCCAGTCCTTATGGTTATACTCAATTTTGAATCAGGTTCCCTTGTTTTTTGTTTTTTTATTGAGTCCTTATTGTATGATGAGTTTTTATAGGAGTCCTCTTGTCAGTGACCATGTTAGTTTAGGCCAAGCTGGCACACATCTCTTTTCTCCTGCTTTCCCCAGTTCCCGCCAACACTACTATTTGTCTCTCTCTCCCCATCATCATTGTCTTCTAGCCTTTTCCAGCCGCACTCCACTCTCCTTCTTTTTCTCTCTCTTCTTCCTTTCTTGATTCCTTCACTGCCATGAGAAACTCGTCTTACTAAATAGATAATGCATAAATAAAACTCTTCTCACTCTCCTTCTTCTTCGCCCCCTTCCATTCTCATTCTCTCTCCTTCCTTTCTCCCTCTACTACCTTCACTGTTATGAACTTCTCATCAGTTGTGAGAAGGAGCTCAACATCACATTTTGATGGAAGGCAAAGGAGTCTTTTGTTTTAGCAGATGCTCTAGCGCCTTTTTCTTTAAATCCATGATACTTCATATCAGCTTCTCCATCTCTTGATTTGACGTTGCCTGCCTCTTTATTAAGGTTAGTCGAGAACTCTTGTGCTATCTTGCTTTCTTCAATAGGGCTCAAAACCTTTTCTTCCACCGTTGCTTTGATATCATCTTACTTTTCTATGGATTCATTGCTTAGAAAATTTTCCAATTAGGGAGAAAGAATGAGAACGAAAAGGGGGCTGAAGAAGGAGAGTGAGAAGAGTTTTATTTATAAATACCCATTCAGTGAGAAGAGTTTCTCATAACAGTGAAGGTAAAAGAGAGAGAAAAAGGAATGAGAGAGAGAGGAAGAAGAAGGACAGTGGGGGTGCAGCCGAGGAAGGTTGGAAGACGATGATAGCGGGGGGAGAGAGAAAAAATAGCAGTGTTGGGGAGACTAGGTGAAGGAAGGAAAGAATAGATGTGTGCCACGTCAACTTAAACTAACAGTGTCACTAACAGAAAGACTCTTATAAAAACTCAACATACAATAAGAAATCAATTTAAAAAAAAACTATAAGGATTTGATTTAAAATTGGAGAATGACAAATTAATTTTCTTTTTATTTATTTAAGTATTAGAAATATTTCTAAATCTTATAATCCATGTTCCGTCGGGTTAACAATTTTTTTAAAAGAAAAAGTCAAATCAGTTTACCATGTCATTTGTCTTTGTGGAAGTGTTTTAAAAAGAGTGCCCATCTGTCACGATTTTTTAACAGACATTTGGGCACGACTAATATGAGTAAAATTGCATCATAAATAATACTACATCTGTTTTTTAATATAAAATTAGTTAAATAATTTAAAAATATTAAGAAAGCTAAATTAATTAATTAATTAGAATATATATTACATGAACTACTTATATATATATATATATATCATTATATTATACATAAATTTATAAGTAAAAAAAATAAAATACTGTAAAATAATTTATTTATCTTCTTTAATCTTTTTAAATTAGTTAATTGAATCTTATATTAAGTATAAAGAAAGTATTATGATGCTACTTTACCCTTCAATTTTTCTAATGATGTTTGGGGGGGGGGGGAAGGTGATGACATATAAATATATATTTAGACATTAATTGCTGAGTTGTGTTTGAAATTTTCATTAACTTGACAAAAGTAAAACGATGAAATGGTCGTAAGCTTCATAACAAGCTCTTGATTTGCCTGGATTTGATTTCAATTCCTTGGGATGATACATTGAAAGTAATATTTATTTTAAAAAAAAAGGTTTTACAATACATAGAGAGTTGAAATGAGATTTTTATTTATTTTAATATTTTTTATTATAAGTTGACCTATAATTTAATTTTTCACTTGCTTGCGGAAATTGACACCTTTAGGTGCGGCATTCACATGGCCTACCCTAAAATAAGAGACCTTTTGTGAATAAATTAAGAGTCCTTCGTTTGGACTTTGGAGCGAAATTCATTTTCATTTAAATCCATCTCTATATATATTAATTAAATTTCTAATAAGCTATACTCTCTGCAATGTATTAACAATGTAATTTGATCATTCTTAATAATAAACTTCATAAAATGATTAAATATTATGAAGATATTATATCATTCATTTTTTGTTTACGTTTATTTCCATCTTAAGTTTTTAGATTAACTCTTTGACAAAATTTCAATTAAATAAATGTATACAATATTTTAAAAACCAAATTTAACTAAACTTTAAGGAAATAATTTTATAAAATATTTTAGGAACCAACTTTTCAATTTTAAATACAACGTCGGTCCTAAGAACATTTTTAAAAAAAAAATAATTATAAAATGATAGATTTTCAAATAGTCAACTTAGGGATAGCTAGGTTTGAGAATTTATTAAGATTAATATTAATTTTTAAATATATATATATATATGATTTGTCAATCATAAATTTTTATGATCACGGTTTCTTCCACATAAAGAAATTTAAATTGACCATAGGAACAAATAAATAATCTAGTTTGATTGGGCCTAGTTTTTGAACCGCAAGCCCAGAATTTAGTGAGCATTTTGATCTTGAGCTTGGAATTTTTATAATAAAAATGCGGCCCATATCAATTAACTTATTAGTCAACCACTTTTTTTTAAAAAAAATATATCCACACTATAATAAAAAAAATAACAAAATAGTATATTTATATTAAAAATTTAACGAAGTGACTTATAAATATGACTAAAAAAAACCTTCTCTCTCTACCTTATAAATAGAGCTAAAGGAGTATATGTTGGAGAATCGATGGCAAAACCAAAACACATACTAGAGAATTACTCACTCTGCTCCTTATTATGAGTTTTAAACAATCAATTTACGGATAATAAATAAATAGTTAAAATTCTTTTGAAATAATAAATAAATTAAAAATATATTTTGTTTTTAAATATGACCTTATAATAAATGAGAAAAAAGATGAAAGAGAATATGTGGGAAAATATAAAATAGAGAAATAATTAAGTATAACATTAAAAAAAATATCAAATGTTGGGACATGCCCTAAATTGAAGCTTATAAAATAGATCACACTCTTTCATAAATTTGAAACTTATAAATAGAAGCCGGGGAGTATTAGGTAAATGCAAATAATCCCGTGTTATGAGGGTTCAATTTCAAGATTAGAACTAATCAAATTAAAAATTAAACAGTTCATATTTAATCTATTTTTTTTATAATTTAATATTTTAATATGTGTAAAGTCTAAAATAAAAATTATCTCCTAGCTATCAGATTTTAAGAATTATTTTTCTTACTTAAAAACCATCCATTAACAATTTTAAATAGAGACCGTTACTGCAAAGATTATCATAATATTGGTCATAAAATTGGTCCCTAGTACAAGCCATTATGATAAAAGTTGTGGGCAGGTATTTAAGCCATCAAAAGGCCAATAACTTGGCTCCCAAATTAGATTTTGTTTATTTTAGTCTCCTTTTATTTTAATTTTTAGCTTTTTGTTTTCAATAAGTGCCATCCTAAGCTGTGGATTTTTTCACTTCAGCAAATTCACTTTCCTAAGAACAAGTCATATGTCACCAAAACTAGAGTAACACATTCTAAACTTTATTAAATGATAAAATGTTTGCCTACTGCTTTCATATCTCTCTACCTTAGCATGCCATTATTCGCAAACTAATCCTTCATGCTCTTTGAAATTGGCATCTCCAAACAACAACTTGATAGGAGTCATTCCCATGACCTTGACTACTTCTAATTCACCGAAAGTCCTGTGGGTGTTTCTGCTAAACTTCAATGATCTTATGCACATGTGAAAATTAATTTATATACATGTATGTGTGTGTATATATATTGATGAAGTGTAAGCTCATAGTTATTAATGAGCGGGAGCATATCAAAATTCTACTGATCACTTTATTCCACTTAACAGTTTTAGGCAACAATGCTATTGGAGCTATTATTGCTCTAAATGTTTATTAATAGAAGAGGAGACAAAAAGATTATTTCTTTGATGTTCTTGGTAATAAGTCGAATAATGGAAAAGATGCTATATATAATGATTGATGATTTATGTGATAGCCATAATTGATTTACTAACATTTTGCCTTTTTACTGGCAGTTGATCTGAAGAGGACCTTGAAACTCACTTTGGTCAACTTGAAAAGTTTTAAGTTGTAAAAGATAAATTTAGTAAACAAAACATTTTGGGTAAAGGCGGGTTTGGTGAGGTTGCTTCTATGTATACATTTTTTATAATTCAATTTTGATACCTTATTATTTAAACAGAATAAGACAAATATCAAACTGCAACAAATTAAACATGTTACATATTTCAAATCTAGACTTTGAAGCAAGTCTTTAAAAGTTTCATCTGAGATACAAATCAAACACTGAGCCAGATCTCCAAGCTTTTTATTGCATTATTGGCATATCTTCATTCGCTAAATGTTGGATTGAGATATTATTGAAAGGAATTGCTAATGGAAGGTTGGAAGATAAAAGCCTTTGAGACACCTGTTGCATTGATGGTCGAGATTTGGGAGATGGGTTCAAGCATGCTAATGCTATTGTGAACAAAAGAGTTATATCTCCTGCATCTTTCTGTGATGGCAAAGGGAGACGTGAGTCTAAAATATCCTTTAGCAAAATGCTCTCTGTACACGTCTTTGACAAAGATAATATCAAATCTCCAGGATGTCTTCCCATAATTGTTTCTAATGTCATCACCCCGAAACTATAAACATCGCATTTTTCAGTAACAACTAAAGTGTATGCAAGCTCTGCAATAAGCCAAAAATTAAGTAATTATGTATTTATCCCAAGACAAGTAATATACTATAGAAATAAAACGCAACATAGAAGGAGAAGTAATAGAGAATTAGAAAAGCTCACCTGGAGCAACATAACCATAAGTACCAACTAATATAGTTTGATTAGATGTATCTGGATCAATGATCCTAGCTGTGCCAAAGTCTGATAAAAAAGCTTCCATCTCTGAGTTCAACAATATGTTACTGCTTGTTATGTCTCGGTGGATAATTGGAGGAGCACAGTGATGATGCATATACAACAAAGCATTTGTTATTCCTTTAATGGCATTCACTCTCTTACTCCAATTTAACTCTTTAGCTTCATCATCATAATTCAACACATAAAAAAGGCTTCCTCTTTCCATGTATTCATATATGAGAAACATACATTGATTGTGCAAACAAGAACCATGAAGCTTTACAATATTGCGATGTCGAATTTCACTCAACATCTTCACTTCATTATGAAAACTCTTGGCCAAAAATTTGTTTCCATATTCTCTTTTATGGAGTTTTTTCAATGCTACGATTTTGCCACTTGGAAGTTGTGCTCTATAAACACTTCCATAAGCACCAGTTCCGATACAATATTTGATGTCAAAGTCCTCTGTTGCTTCAATGATGTCTTCATATGCAATTTTTCCATCATAGTTCCATATTGAAAACAAATCCCCATTTTTTGCTTCTCTTGCCTCACTTATGGATTTCTTGTGCTTTTTGAATGATCCAAATAAGATGAAACCCACAACAAATGTGATGGCAAGAAAAATTGTCAAAGGAATAATGATTTTCAGCAAAGACTTTGAGGCTTTATGTATCTTCTCTAGCCCAAGTAATTCTCTATTACCATTTAAAATGTCATGAGGAAAAGAGTTATAAACTTCACTTGGAACATAGCCGCTAAGGAGATTGTATGACAAGTTGGTGTATTGTAGCCTGCCAAATTCCCTAGGTATGCTACCAGAGATACTATTGTAGCTCAAATCAATACTACATGATGGTGGGTCACTACATATACTAGATGGTAATATTCCATTGAATTTGTTATGACTAAAGTTACCATCAACATGAAAGTAACTGTTCAAAATGTCCGGTACATTTCCACTCAAATTATTTTGGGAGACATCTACGTGAAAGCGATTATTGAAATTTCCTAATTCTTCTGGAATGCCACCACTTAATTGATTCTGAGAAACATCAAAATGTTGTAAATCTCTCATATTGAAAATCAAATAAGGGATACCACCTGTAGTAAATAAATTTGAGTATAAATATTAGCTGTGGAGATTTGTCATAAAACCCGAAGTTTAAAGAATGACTCCAACTATTTTTTTTGTTTCTACTCAAATCTAGTGATTCTAAATAAAGTTGGGAAGGGTAGAAGGTAGAACACCTGAAAGGTTGTTGCAAGACAAGTCCAAATAATTGAGATTTTGAAGGCCTCCTATATGAGTTGGAATGATACCTGTCACCATTCCATGAAAATTCAAATATAATATTAATATTTTTTATTTTATATGAGTTAGGAAAGGTAGAAGGTAGGGCACCTGTAAGGTTGTTGCAAGACAAGTCCAAATATTTGAGATTTTGAAGACCTCTTATATGAGTTGGAATGATACTTGTCACCATTTTATGAAAATTCAAATAGAATATTTTTTTTATAATGTAGTGAATAAATGTATGCACAAATGTAAGCCTTTTTTATTTGTCATAAACCCAGTGCTAACAAATGACTCCAATTAGATTGTTTCTATTTAAATTGAGTAATCTTAAATAATTAAAGAATGACTCCAACTATTTTTTTGTTTCTACTCAAATCTAGCAATTCTAAATAAAGTTGGAAATGGTGGAAGGTAGAACACCTGAAAGGTTGTTGCAAGACAAGTCCAAATAAGTGAGATTTTGAAGGTCTCCAATATAAGTTGGAATGATACCTGTCACCATTCCATGAAAATTCAAATATAATATTTTTTTATATTATATGAGTTAGGAAAGGTGGAAGGTAGGACACCTGAAAGGTTGTTGCAAGATAAGTCCAAATGATTGAGATTTTGAAGGCCTCCCATATCAATTGGAATGCTACCTGTCACCATTCCATGAAAATTCAAATATAATATTAATATTTTTTATTTTATACGAGTTAGGAAAGGTGGAAGGTAGGACACCTGTAAGGTTGTTGCAAGACAAGTCCAAATATTTGAGATTTTGAAAACCTCTTATATGAGTTGGAATGATACTTGTCACCATTTCATGAAAATTCAAATATAATATTTTTTTAAATAATGTAGTGAATAAATGTGTGCACAAATGTAAGCCTTTTATATTTGTCATAAACCTAGTGTTAATGAACGACTCCAATTAGATTGTTTCTATTTAAATTGAGTAATCTTAAATAATTAAGCTTGGTGGAAGTAAGTAAAATTATTGCAAGACAAGTGCAAATGTTGGATGAATGAATGAAGGGCTCTAACTTGAATCAAAGTTGTACCTGTTATCCCCATTCTAGAAAGATTTAAGTATTTTAGTCTTTTTAATTCAGTGAAGTTGAGATCTGCTAGCTGACGATGCTGTGAATAGATTCTTGGTTGGTTAATTGACATAACTCTTCCTACGCCATCGCATGCTATGCCATCCCAGTCACAATAGTGATGGGAGCCACCATTGCTTAAGTTCCACCATTTGCTTTGACACAGTGCATGCTCATTACCTGCGGTCATGACAATTATGATATTATAGCCATGTGTTTGAATGACAAAAGCTTACACCATCACTTTGGAAGTTTCACTGAAGGAGTTTCCATTACAACCAAAAGCTTGTTTATGCTTGTTCTTTATTATTGTGGTTAATTCGTAGAGCATTCAACATGTTATTCTGTTTTTCCTTATTACATTGGCAGAATTACAATCAAGTCCTAATGAAGGAAAACAATTACAAAACAAGTTCTAAAAATTGTCATTGTCTACTTTGGTACTTGTCATTATGGGCTGTTGATATTGTTATTGGGACTTTTTAGTAATTATTTCTCTTCCTTGGAGCTTGATTGTGATTCTCCCTATTATATTTGAATTGTTTGTATCATAAAGCTTAAAAGTGACTTCGTAATGCTATGGTTTTTTTTTTTTTACCTCAAAACATATGCTAAGTATTTTGATCATTTAAAACATGTCTTCAATGTAATATTTCTTTTTTCTTTTTGGTAATTTGGATAAGGAAGAGAAGTAACTCACTTGAAACAACATTGTTGTAAGACAAGTTTAGATATGTGAGTTGTGGAAGATCTTCTATTTGAGTTGGAACGAGATCTGTCAAAGTCAAAATACATTTTTTTTCAATTGCAAATGTATGTCTTAGGTTGTTTTTTATCAAATAAAAAGTTAAAAATCTAGATAGCAAGAGTGGAACAAAACTCACTAGTAAGGTTGTTATGAAACAAGTTCAAATAATTGAGATTTTGAAGAGCTCCTATCTGCATTGGAATGGTACCTGGTAATAACCTATTTTATTAAGTCATAAAGGTAAATACAATAGTTCTAAATTGAGTGAATTTGCAAGGTACAGTATATGGCACATAACTTACCAGTAAGATTGTTATAAGTTCATATTTATGAGATTAAGAAGAGCTCCAATCTGAGTTGGAATAGTACTTATCAACTCTATTCCATGATTATTCAACTATATACTACTAGTTTTTGTGATGCAATAAATAAATTTGTGTACAAAAACAAGTTTTTAATATTTGTCGTAAAATACAAAGTTGAATGAATAGGTCCAACTGGATTGTTTCCATTCATATTGAGCAACTTTAAATGAGTAAGGTTGGCAAGAGTGTAATGTAAGTAGAATTATTGTAAGACATTGGATGAATGAATGAATGAAGAGCTTTGCTTAAAATCACAGTGGTACCGGTTAACCTTGTTCTAGAAAGATATAAATATTTTAGTTTTTGTAATGTGGTGAAGTTAAGATCTATTAGCCGAGGTTGCTGTGAATGGATTCTTAGTTGTTTAATTGAAATTACAGTTCCAAAGACATTGCAAGATCTGAGTTAAGCTTAGAATAGAGGTAACTAGGGTTAATTTATTTTAAATACGTGCTTTGAATTGTAAGGTGTTTACTACGTTTTTATTTTCTCAAATAAATTTGTGAAAGTATGCCTATGAATAAAGTATGTATTTTTTTATATGACAAATTTTAAGAAATTGGGAAGTATGTCGATTTAATTATGCCTGAATTGTATTTTATTGGGAATTATGTTTTTTTGTTGTGCTAAATTTGATATACTAATATTATATTATTAAATAAAATGAAAATATGTTGTACTTACTTTGCAGAACTATGATATTTTTAATTTGCATTGTGACTATGTATGGGGTTCATATGTGGAGGTTGGGATTTTGTTATGTGGAGGATAATTGTTCTTGAAGCCTGCGTGGCATGCCTACACTATTGATCATAGTGTTTGGTTATTTTGTCAGACCCTTATAGTTCTTCCTTTTTCTTGGCTCGAAGTTGAGAATGAGTTCTTGGGTAGACACCTCTTACACCATAGTCTATTCTTAGGTTGTGTAGATGCAGGAGGGGACCCGTTGCTTGATGTGAGTGGGGTGATCTTTGACTGGGTTGTTTAGCACAAAAAGCCCAGAACCTTGTCAAGGAGTCATAAATAGGATTATGGTGATGAGAGGGCATATTTTATTGTGTTGTTGCATATGTGTACTTTTGCATGAATTTGGTTGTGGATGGTGAGATATACTCCTTTCATATGGTTTTATTTATTAAAGCATTATTTATTACTTAAATTATATTTAAGCACTACTTAAATCAACTTGCTATCCTACTTGTATAAGTGACAAATTAATACTTTGTTATAGAGACTTTATGTTATCATCCCGTTATTCATCAATGTTTTTCAGGAGAGCAATCTAGTTTAGCTCGGCGTGAAGGGAAGCAAGCAAAGGCATAGGCGAGCACAGCCTAGTAGTTCTCTTTTAATTTGGGCATGTAATGTTATGTATATTGCCACATTAGGGCCTATGATTTTGTTGATATACACTTTCTTTGGTTTGGTTGTTGGATGATCATATTTGATGGAGTGCTGTTAGAATGGTTGGAGGCCATTAAGATTCTGCGGCATATGTTACTCTTATGTGTACGACTTATGGGTTGGGCTGAGCAATCTGTGTTTCTTGTGCCCTAAGTCTTAGTAGGGTGAATTTTTGTGTTGGGTTTGCGAGCAGTTACTGTGCCTTGAGTCCTTGTTGTACGTGTTGTTAAACTCATAAGCATTTTATGTATATTAACCCTCTCGGGATATTTTCAGAAAAGGACAAATTCCTTATAATTATGGTAATAATTTAATACTCTAACTCGATTCCTTTTCCTACTATGGTTATTATCAAAAAAATGGTTTTATAATTATGTATTAAGAAGAGGTGTTTTCAAATATAATATTTCCAAATTGAGTGAATTTACAACATAAGAGTAGAAATAGAAGATACATAACTCACCAGTAAGATTGTTGTAAGACAAGTCCAAAAGAGTGAGATTTTGAAGAGCTCCTACTTGGGATGGAATAATCCCTGTCAACAGAGGTATTAGGTTGTATGGAGATAAATGCAATATTTCCAAATTGAGTGAATTTGCAAGGTAAGAGTAGAAATGAAATATATATAACTCACCAGTAAGACTGTTAGAAGATAAGTCCAGATAAGTGAGATTACGAAGAGATCCTATTTGGGATGGAATAATCCCTGTCAACAGAGGCATTAGGTTGTGTAGGGGTAAATATAATATTTCAAAATTGAGTAAATTTGATAGGTAAGAGTAGAAATGGAAGATATATATAACTCACCAGTAAGATTGTTAGAAAATAAGTACAGATGAATCAAATTATGAAGAAATCCTATCTGTGATGGAATGGTTCCTGTCAATAAAGGTATTAGGTTGTGTGCAGGTAAATACAATATTTCACAATTTAGTGAATTTACAAGGTAACAGTAGAAATGAAAGATATAAAACTCACCAGTAAGACTGTTAGAACACAAGCGTAGTTCAATCAGATTATAAAGAGATCCTATCTGTGATGGAATGATCCCTGTCAATAGAGGAATTAGGCTGTGGGGAGACAAATACAATATTCCAAAAATTACTTAATTTGCAAAGTAAGAATAGAAATGAAAGATATATAATTCACTAATAAGTCTGTTATAAGACAAGTCTAGATAAGTGAGGTTTTGAAGAGCTTCTATTTGGGATGGAATCCCAGTCAACAGAAGTATTAGGTTATGTAAGGGTAAATATAATATTTTCAAATTGAGTGAATTTACAAGGTAAGAGTGGAAATGCAAGATATATGACTCATAAGTAAAATTATTAAAAGATAAGTATAGATGAATTAGATAATAAAGAGATCCTATCTGTGATGGAATGATCCCTATCAATAAAAGTATTAGGTTGTGTGGAGGTAAATACAATATTTCAAAATTTAGTGAATTTCCAAGATAACAGTAGATATGGAAGATATATAACTTAACAGTAAGACTATTAGAAGAAAAGTCTAGATAAGTGAGATTTTTAAGAGCTCTTATTTGGGATGCAATAATCTCTGTCAGCAAAGATATTAGGTTGTGTGGGGGTAAATATAATATTTCCAAATTGAGTGAATTTACAAGGTAAGATTGGAAATGAAAGATATATAACTCATATGTAAGATTGTTAGAAGATTAGTATAGATGAATCATATTATGAAGAGATCCTATCTGTGAAAGAATGATCCCTGTCAATAGAAGTAATAGGTTGTGTGGAGTTAAATAGAATATTTCAAAATTTAGTGAATTTGCAAGGTAACAGTAGAAATGGAAGGCATATAACTCACCAGTAAGATTATTAGAACACAAGTGTAGTTCAATCAGATTATGAAGAGACCCTATCTGTGATGGAATGATCCCTGTCAATAGAGGTATTAGGTTGTGGGAAGACGACTACAATATTCCAAAATTTACTTAATTTGCAAGGTAAGAGAAGAAATGGAAGATATATAACTCACCAATAAGACTGTTATAAGATAAGTCCAAATAAGTGAGATGTTGAAGAGCTCCTATTTGGAATGGAAAGATCCCTGTCAACAGAGGCATTAGGTAGTGTAAGGGTAAATATAATATTACCAAATTGAGTGAATTTACAATGTAAGAGTGCGAATGAAATATATATAACTCATAAGTAAAATTGTTAGAAGATAAGTACGGATGAATCAGATTATGAAGAGATACTATCTGTGATGGAATGATCTCTATCAGTAAAAGTATTAGGTTATGTGGAGGTAAATACAATATTTCAAAATCTAGTGAATTTGCAAGGTAACAGTAGAAATGGAAGATATATAACATAACAGTAAGACTATTATAAGACAAGTCTAGTCCAGTCAAAGTGTAAAGAGATCCTATTTGGACTGGAATGATCCTTGTCAATAGAGATATTAGGTTCTGTAGGGGTAAATATAATATTTCAAAATTGAGTGAATTTACAAGGTAAGAGTGGAAATGAAAGATATATAACTCATAAGTAAGATTGTTAAAAGATAATTATAGATGAATCAGATTATGAAGACATCCTATCTATGATGGAAAACAATATTCCAAAATTTACTTTATAAATGGAAGACATATAACTCACCAGTAAGGTCGTTATAAGACAAGTTCAAATAAATCAGATTTTGAAGAGCTCCTATTTGGAATGGAATGATCCCTGTCAACAGAGGTATTAGGTTGTGTAAGGGTAAATATAATATTTCCAAATTGAGCGAATTTATACGGTAAGAGTGGAAATGAAAGATATATAACGCATATGTAAAATTGTTTGAAGACATGTATAGATGAATCAGATTATGAAGAGATACTATCTGTGATGGAATGATCTCTGTCAATAAAAGTATTAGGTTGTGTGGAGGTAAAAATAATATTTAAAAATTTAGTGAATTTGCATGGTAATAGTATAAATGGAAGATATATAACTTAACAGTAAGATTGTTATAAAACAAGTCTAGTCTGATCAGATTATCAAGAGATCCTATCTGTGATGGAATGATCCTTGTCAATAGAGGTATTAGGTTGTGTAGGGGTAAATATAATATTTCAAAATTGAGTGAATTTACAAGGCAAGAGTGGAAATGAAAGATATATAACTCATAAGTAAGATTGTTATAAGATAAGTATAGATGAATCAGGTTATGAAGAGATCCTATCTGTGACAGAATACAATATTCCAAAATTTACTTAATTTGTAAGGTTAGAGTAGAAATGGAAGATATCTAACTCACCAGTAAGACTATTGTCAGACAAGTCCAAATAAGTGAGATTTTGAAGAGCCCCTATTTGGAATGGAATGATCCCTGTCAACAGTGGTATTAGGTAGTATGGGGGTAAATATAATATTTCAAAATTGAGTGAATTTAAAAGGTAAGAGTGGAAATGAAAGATATTTAACTCATAAGTAAGATCGTTAGAAGATAAGTATAGATGAATCAGGTTATGAAGAGATCCTATTTGTGATGGAATACAATATTCCAAAATTTACTTAATTTGCAAGATAAGGGTAGAAATGGAAGATATATAACTCACCAGTAAGACTGTTAGAAGATAAGTCTAAATAAGTGAGATTTTGAAGAGCTCTTATTCGAAATGGAATGATCCCTGTCAATAGTGGTATTAGGTTGTGTAGGGGTAAATATAATATTTCCAAATTGAGTGAATTTACAAGGTAAGACTGGAAATAAAAGCTATATAACTCATAGGTAAAACTATTAGAAGATAAGTATCGATGAATCAGATTATGAAGAGATACTAACAGTGATATAATGATCGCTGTCAATAAAAGTATTAGGTTGTGTGGAGGCAAATATAATATTTCAAAATTTAGCGAATTAGCAAGGTAACAGTAGAAATGAAAGATATATAACTTTAGAGTAAGACTGTTATAAGACAGGTCTAGTCCGATCCGATTATAAAGAGGTCCTATCTGTGATGGAATGATCCTTGTCAATAGAGATATTAGGATGTGTAGGGGTAAGTATGATATTTCAAAATTGTGTGAATTTACAAGGAAGAGTGGAAATGAAAGATATATAACTCATAAGCAAGATTGTTGAAGATAAGTATAGAGGAATCAGGTTATGAAGAAATCCTATTTGTGATGGAATACAATATTGTAAAATTTACATAACTTGCAAGGTAAGATTAGAAATGCAAGATATATAACTCACCAGTAAGACTATTATCAGACAAGTCAAAGTAAGTGAGATTTTGAAGCGCTCCTATTTGGAATGGAATGATCCCTGTCAACAGTGGTATTAGGTTGTGCAGGGGTAAATATAATATTTCCAAGTTGAGTGAATTTACAAGGTAAGAGTGGAAATGAAAGCTATATAACTCATGAGTAAAATTGTTAGCAGAGAAGTGTACATGAATCAAATTACATATAGAGAGATACTATCTGTGATGAAATGATCTCTGTCAATAAAAGTATTAGGTTGTGTGGAGGTAAATACAAAATTTCAAAATTTAGTGAATTTGCAAGGTAACAGTGGAAGTGGAGGATATATAACTTAATAGTAAAGCTGTTATAAGACTAGTCTAGTTCAATCAGAGTATGAAGAGATCCTATCTGTGATGGAATAATCATTGTCAATAGAGTTATTAGGTTGTGTAGGGGTAAATATAATATTTCAAAATTGAGTGAATTTACAAGGTAAGCATGTAAATGAAAGATATATAACTCATATGTAAGATTGGTAGAAGATAAGTATAGATGAATCAAATTATGAAGACATCCTATTTGTGATGGAATACACTATTCCAAAATTTACTTAATTTGCAAGGTAAGGGTAGAAATGGAAGACATATAACTCACCAGTAAGGTCATTACAAGACAAGTTCAAATAAGCGAGGTTTTGAAGAGCTCCTATTTGGAATGGAATGATCCCTGTCAACAGAGGTATTAGGTTGTGTAGTGGTAAATATAATATTTCCAAATCGAGTGAATTTACAAGGTCAGAGTGGAAATGAAAGATATATAACTCATTAGTAGAATTGTTAGCAGATAAGTGTAGATGAATCAGATTACGAAGAGATACTATCTATGATGGAATAATCTCTGTCAATAAAAGTATCATGTTGTGTGGAGGTAAATACAATATTTTAAAATTTAGTGAATTTGCAACGTAAGAGTAGAAATGGAAGATATACAACTTAACAGTAAGACTGATATAAGACAAGTCTAGTCCAATAAGATTGTGAAGAGATCCTATCTGTGATGGAATGATCCTTGTCAATAGAGTTATTAGGTAGTGTAGAGGTAAATATAATATTTTAAAAATGAGTGAATTTACAGGGTAAGAGTGGAAATGAAAGATATATAACTCATAAGTAAGACTGTTAGAAGATAAGTATAGGTGAATTAGGTTATGAAGAGATCCTATCTTTGATGGAATACAATATTCCAAAATTTACTTTATTTGCAAGGTAAGAGTAGAAATGGTAGATATATAACTCACCAGTAAGGGTGTTAGAAGACAAGTCCAAATAAGTGAGATTTTGAAGAGCTCCTATTCCGAATGGAATGATTCCTGTCAATTGAGGTATTAGGTTATGTAGGGGTAAATATAATATTTCCAAATTGTGTGAATTGACAATGCAAGAGTGGAAATGAAAGGGATATAACTCATCAGCAAAATTGTTAGAAGATAAGTATAGATGAATCAGATTATGAAGAGATACTATCTGTGATGGAATAATCGCTGTCAATAAAAGTATTAGGTTGTCTGGATGTAAATACAATATTTCAAAATTTAGTGAATTTGCAAGGTAACAGTAGAAATGGAAGATATATAACTTAACAATATGACTGTTATAAGACAAGTCTAGTCCGATCAGATTATGAAGTGATCCTAGCTGTGATGGATGATCCTTGTTAATAAAGGTATTAGGTTGTGTAGGGATAAATATAATATTTCAAAATTGAGTGAATTTCCATGGTAAGAGTTGAAATGAAAGATATGTAACTCATAAGTAAGATTGTTAGAAGATAAGTATAGATGAATAAGGTTATGAAGCGATTCTATCTGTGATGGAGTACAATATTCCAAAATTTACTTAATTTGCAAGGTAAGAGTAGAAATAGAAGACATATAACTCACCACTAAGACTGCTATCAGACAAGTCCAAATAAGTGAGATTTTGAAGACCTCCTAGTTGGAATGGAATGATCCCTGTCAGCAGTGGTATTAGGCTGTGTTGGTGTAAATATAATATTTCGAAGTTGAGTGAATTTACAAGGTAAGAGTGGAAATGAGAGGTATATAGCTCACAAGTAAAATTGTTAGCAGATAAGTATAGATGAATCAGATAATGAAGAGATACTATTTTTGATGGAATGATCTCTGTCAATAAAAGCATTAGGTTGTGTGGAGGTAATTACAATATTTCAAAATTTAGTGCATCTGCAAGGTGACAGTAGAAATGAAAGATATATAACCTAACGGTAAGACTACTATAAAAGAAGTCTAGTCCAATAAGATTATCAAGAGATCCTATTGTGATGGAATAATCCTTGTCAATTAAGATATTAGGTTGTGTAGGGGTAAATATAATATTTCAAAATTGAGTGAATTTCCATGGTAAGAGTCGAAATGAAAGATATGTAACTCATAAGTAAGATTGTTAGAAGATAGGTCTAGATGAATCAGGTTATGAACAGATCCTATTTGCGATGGAATACAATATTCCAAAATTTACTAAACTTGCAAGGTAAGATTAGAAATGGAAGATACATAACTCACCAGTAAGACTGTTATCAGACAAGTCCAAATAAGTGAGATTTTGAAGCGCTCCTATTTGGAATGGAATGATCCCTGTCAACAGTGGTATTACGTTGTGGAGGGGTAAATATAATATTTTCAAATTGAGTGAATTTACAAGGTAAGAGTGGAAATGAAAGGTATATAACTCATAAGTAAAATTGTTAGCAGAGAAGTGTACATGAATCAGATTATGAAGAGATACTATCTAAGATGGAATGATCTCTGTCAATAAAAGTATTAGGTTGTGTGGAGGTAAATACAAAATTTCAAAATTTAGTGAATTTGCAAGGTAATAGTAGAGGTGGAGGATATATGACTTAACAGTAAAGCTGTTATAAGACAAGTCTAGTCCCATTAGAGTACGAAGAGATCCTATCTGTGTTAGATTGATCCTTATCAACAGAGATATTAGGTTGCGTAGGGGTAAATATAATATTTCAAAATTGAGTGAATTTGCAAGGTAAGCATGCAAATGAAAGATATATAACTCATAAGTAAGATTGTTAGAAGATAGGTATAGATGAATCAGTTTATGAAGAGATCCTATATGTGATGGAATACAATATTCCAAAATTTACTTAATTTGCAAGGTAAAGGTAGAAATGGAAGACATATAACTCACCAGTAAGGTCGTTATAAGACAAGTTCAAATAAATCAGATTTTGAAGAGCTCCTATTTGGAATGGAATGATCCCTGTCAACAGAGGTATTAGGTTGTGTAAGGGTAAATATAATATTTCCAAATTGAGCGAATTTATACGGTAAGAGTGGAAATGAAAGATATATAACGCATATGTAAAATTGTTTGAAGACATGTATAGATGAATCAGATTATGAAGAGATACTATCTGTGATGGAATGATCTCTGTCAATAAAAGTATTAGGTTTTGTGGAGGTAAATACAATATTTCTAAATTTAGTGAATTTGCAAGCAAACATTGGAAGTGGAAGATATATAACTTAATAGTAAGACTATTATAAAACAAGTCTAGCCTGATCAGATTATCAAGAGATCCTTTCTGTGATGCAATGATCCTTGCCAATAGAGGTATTAGGCTGTGTAGGTGTAAATATAATTTTTCAAAATTGAGTGAATTTGAAAGGTAAGAGTGGAAATGAAAATATATATAACTCATATGTAAGATTGTTAAAAGATAAGTATAGATGAATCAGGTTAATAAGAGATCCTTTGTGTGATGTAATATAATATTCCAAAATTTACTTAATTTGCAAGGTATGAGTAGAAATGGAAGATATATAACTCACCAGTAAGACTATTATAAGACAAGTCCAAATAAGTGAGATTTTGAAGAGCTTCTATTTGGATTGGTATGATCCCTGTCAAAAGTGGTATTAAGTTGTGTAGGGGTAAATATAACATTTCCAAATTGAGTGAATTTACAAGGTAAGAGTGGAAATGAAAGATATATAACTCATAAGTAAAATTGTTAGAAGATAAGTAGAGATGAATTAGATCATGAAGAGATACTATCTGTGATGGAATGATCTCTGTCAATAAAAGTATGAGGTTGTGTGGAGGTAAATACAATATTTCAAAATTTAGTGAATTTGCCAGGCAACAGTAGAAATGGAAGATATATAACTTAACAGTAAGACTGTTATAAGACAAGTCTAGTCCGATCAGATTATGAAGAGATCCTATGTGTGATGGAATACAGTATTTCAAAATTTACTTAATTTGCAAGGTAAGCGTAGAAATGGAAGATATATAACTCACCACTAAGACAGTTATCAGACAAGTCCAAATAAGTGAGATTTTGAAGAGCTCCTATTTGGAATGGAATGATCCCTGTGAAAAGCGGAATTAGGTTGTGTAGGGGTAAATATGACATTTCCAAATAGAGTGAATTGATAAGGCAAGAGTGGAAATTAAAGGTATACAACTTGTAAGTAAAATTGTTAGCAGACAAGTATAGATGAATCAGATTATGAAGAGATACTATCATTGATGGAATGATCCCAATCAATAAAAGTATTAGGTTGTGTGGAGGTAAATACAATATTTCAAAATATAGTGAATTTGCAAGGTGACAGTAGAAATGGAGAATATATAACTTGACAGTAAGCTTGTTATAAGACAAGCCTAGTCTGATCAGATTATAAAGAGATCCTATCTGTGTTGGAATGATCCTTGCCAATAGAGATATTAGGTTGTGCGGGGGTAAATAGAGTATTTCAGAATTGAGTGAATTTACAAGGTAAGAGTAGAAATAAAAGATTATATTACTCATGAATAAGATTATTAGAAGATAAGTTTATATGAATTAGGTTATGAGGAGATCCTATCTATGATAGAATACAATATTCCAGAATTTACATAATTTGCAAGGTAAGAGTAGAAATGGAAGATATATAGCTCACCAGTAAGACCGTTCTCAGACAAGTCCAAATAAGTGAGATTTTGAAGAGCTCCTATTTGGAATGGAATGATCCCTGTCAACAGTGGTATTTGGTTGTGTAGGGGTAAATATAATATTTCCAAACTGAGTGAATTTACAAGGTATGAGTGGAAATGAAAGGTATATAACTCAAGTAAAATTGTTATAAGATAAGTGCAGATGAATCAGATTATGAAGAGATACTATCTGTGATGGAATGATCTCTGTGAATAAAAGTATTAAGTTGTGTGGAGGTAAGTACAATATTTCAAAATTTAGTGACTTTGCAAGATAACAGTAGAAGTGGAAGATATATAACTTAACAGTAAGACTGTTATAAGACAAGTCTAGACCGATCAGATTATGAAGAGATCCTAGCTGTGATGGAATGATCCTTGTCAATAGAGATATTAGGTTGTATAGGGGTAAATATAATATTTCAAAATTACGTGAATTTACAAGGTAAGGGTTGAAATGAAAGATATGTAACTCATAAGTAAGATTGCCAGAAGACAAGCATGGATGAATCAGTTTTTAAAGAGATCCTATCTGTGTTGGAATACAATATTCCCAAATTTACTTAATTTGCAAGGTAAGGGTAGAAATGGAAGACATATAACTCACCAGTAAGGTCGTTACAAGACAAGTTCAAATAAGCGAGATTTTGAAGAGCTCCTTTTTGGAATGGACTGATCCCTGTCAACAGAGGTATTAGGTTGTGTCTGGTAAATATAATATTTCCAAATGGAGTGAATTTACAAGGTAAGAGTGGAAATGAAAGATATATAACTCATAAGTAGAATTGTTGGAAGATAAGGGTAGATGAATCAGATTATGAAGAGATACTATTTGTGATGCAATGATCTCTGTCAATAAAAGTGTGAGGTTGTGTGGAGGAAAATAGAATATTTAAAAATTTAGTGACTTTGCAAGGTAACAATAGAAATGAAAGATATATAACTTAACAGTAAGAGTGTGATAAGACAAGTCTAGTCCGATTAGATTATCAAGAGATCCTATCTTTGATGGAATGATTCTTGTCAATAGAGGTATTAGGTTGTGTAGGGGTAAATATAATATTTCAAAATTGAGGGAATTTACAAGCTAAGAGTGGAAATGAAAGATATATAACTCATAAGTAAGATTGTTACAAGATAATTATAGATGAATCAGGTTATGAAGAGATCCTATCTGTGATGGAATATAGTATTCCAAAATTTACTTAATTTGCAGGGTAAGAGTAGAAATAGAAGATATATAACTCACCAATAAAACTGTTAGAAGACAAGTCCAAATAAATGAGATTTTGAAGTGCTCCTATTTGGAATCGAATGATCCCTGTCAACAGTGGTATTACGCTATGTAGGGGTAAATAAATAGTTCCAAGTTGAGTAAATTTACAAGGTAAGAGTGGAAATGAAAGATAGATAACGTAAAAGTAAAATTGTTAGAAGATAAGTAGAGATGAATTATATCATAAAGAGATACTATCTGTGATGGAATGATCTCTGTCAATAAAAGTATTTGGTTGCGTGGAGGTAAATACAATATTTCAAAATTTAGTGAATTTGCAAGGTAACAATAGAAATGGAAGATAAATAACTTAACAGCAAGACTGTTATAAGACATGTCTAGTCTGATCAGATGATAAAGAGATCCTATCTGTGATGAAATGATCCTTGTGAATAGAGATATTAGGTTTTATAGGGATAAATATAATATTTCAAAATTGAGTGAATTTACAAGGTAAGAGTGGAAATGAATGATATATAACTCATAAGTAAGATTGTTAGATGATAAGTATGGATGAATCGGGTTGTGAAGAGATCTTATCTGTGATAGAATACAATATTCCAAAATTTACTTAATTTGCAAGGTATGAGTAGAAATGGACGATATATAACTCACCAGTAAGACTGTTATCAGACAAGTCCAAATAAGTGAGATTTTGAAGAGCTCCTATTTGAAATGGAATGATCCCTGTCAACAGTGGTGTTAGGTTGTGTAAGGGTAAATATAATATTTCCAAATTGAGTGAATTTACAAGGTGAGAGTGGAAATGAAAGATATATAACTCATAAGTAAAATTATTTGAAGATAAGTATAGATGAATCAGATTATGTAGAGATACTATCTGTGATAGAATGATCTCTATCAATAAAAGTATTAGGTTGTGTGGAGGTAAATAGAATATTTCAAAATTTAGTGAATTTGCAAGGTAATAATAGAAGTGGAAGATATATAATTTAACAGTAAGACTGTTATAAGACAAGTCTAGTCCAATAAGATTATGAAGAGATCCTGTCTATGATGGAATGATCCTTGTCAATAGAGATATTAGGTTGTGTAGGGGTAAATATAAGATTTCAAAATTTGGTGAATTTCCAAGGGAAGAGTGGAAGTGAAAGATATCTAACTCCATGGTAAGATTGTTAGAAGATAAGTATAGATGAATCAGGTTATGAAGAGATCCTATCTTTGATGGAATACAATATTCCAAAATTTACTTAATTTGCAAAATAAGGGTCGAAATGGAAGATATATAACTCACCAGTAAGGTCGTTACAAGACAAGTCCAAATAAGTGAGCTTTTGAAGAGCTCCTATTTCGAATGGAATGATTCCTGTCAACAATTGTATTAGGTTGTGTAGGGGTAAATATAATATTTTCAAATTGAGTGAATTTACAAGGTAAGAGTGGAAATGAATGATATATGACTCATATGTAAAATTGTTAGAAGATAAGTATATATGAATCAAGTTATGAAGAGATACTATCTGTGATGGAATGATCTCTGTCAATAAAAGTATTAGGTTGTGTGGAAGTAAATACAATATTTCAAAATTTAATGAATTTGCAAGGTAACAGTAAAGGTGGAAGATGTATAACATAACAGTAAGACTGTTATAAGACAAGTCTAGTCCAATGAGATTATAAAGAGATCCTATTTGTGATGGAATGATCCTTGTCAATAGAGATATTAGGTTTTGTAGGGGTAAATATAATATTTTAAAATTGAGTGAATTTACACGGTAAGAGTGGAAATGAAAGATATATGACTCAAAAGTAAGATTGTTAGAAGAGAAGTATAGATGAATCAGGTTATGAAGAGATCCTATCTGTGATGGACTACAGTATTCCAAAATTTATTGAATTTGTAAGGTAAGAGTAGAAATGGAAGATATATAACTCACCAGTAAGACCGTTACAAGACAAGTCCAAATAAGTGAGATTTTGAAGAGCTCCTATTGGGAATTGAATGATCTCTGTCAATAGAGGTATTAGGTTGTGTAGGGGTAAATATTATATTTCCAAATTGAGTGAATTTACAATGTAAGAGTGGAAATGAAAGATATATAACTCATAAGTAAAATTGTTAGAAGATAAGTATAGATGAATCAAATTATGAAGAGATACTATTTGTGATGGAATGACCTCTGTCAATAAAAGTATTAGGTTTTGTGGAGGTAAATAAAATATTTCAAAATTTAGTGAATTTGCAAGGTAACAGTGAAAATAGAATATATAGAACTTAACAGTAAGATTGTTATAAGACAAGTCTAGTCCAAGCAGATTACAAAGAGATCCTATCTGTGATGGAATGATCATTGTCAATAGAGATATTAGGTTTTGTAGGGGTAAATATAATATTTCAAAATTGAGGGAATTTACAAGGTAAGAGTGGAAATGAAAGATATATAACTCATAAGTAAGATTGCTAGAAGATAAGTATAGATGAATCAGGTTATGAAGAGATCCTATCTGTGATGGAATGATCTTTGTCAATAGAGGTATTAGGTTGTGGTGATAAAGATAATATTTTCAAATTGAGTGAATTTACAAGATAAGAATAGAAATGATAGATATATAACTCATAAGTAAGATTGTTAGAATATAAGTATAGATGAATCAGATTATGAAGAGATACTCTCTGTGATGGAATGATCCCTGTCAATAAAAGTATTAGGTTGTTTGGAGCTAAATATAATGTTTCCAAATTGAGTGAATTTGCAAGAGTAGAAATGGAGGATATATAACTCACCAGTAAGAAAATTAAAAGACAAGTCTAAATAAGTAAGATTTTGAAGAGCTCCTATTTGTGATGGAATGATCCCTGTCAATAGAACTATTAGGTTGTGTGGTGGTACATACAATATTTTTGAATTTATTGAATTTGCATGGTATGAGTAGAAGTAGAAGATATACAACTCACCAGTAAGATTGTTAAAAGATAAGTTTAGAAGGATAAGTTTATGAAGAGATCCTATCTGGCCTGGAATTGTATATATCAAACCCATTTGAGAAAGTATGAGATGTTCTAGATTGGGAAATGCGGTGAAATTGAAATCTGCTAGATGATCATATTGTGTAGTCATTTGTTGATAATTCATCTCAACAAGGCTTCCAATATCATTGCAATATATGCCTTCCCAGTGACAAGGGTCTGATATATTGTGGGCACTGTTGCTGAAATTCCACCATTCGATTTGAAGTAGAGCACGTTTCTCCTCTTCTATCATCGCAACTGATACTACACCATTAATGTGGAAGCAAGTTATTATAACAAAGCATAATAAAAATACCGCTCTCATCACACCCATCTTCAGTTCTTTTGTCTACACAAAGCGATCATAAAATGAGTGCATCCACAAAGTCTTTATATATAGAGCAATATTATTGAATCTCCCTTCTACGCATCGAAGTCGTTGGAGTGTGTAGGTCCAATGGCAAATGGACTAATCATATGGTGTAAGATTGCCTCAGCTGTTAATTAATGGTCATAGTCAATATTAAAGTCTTTAGTCTTTGGAGTTATTATAGTCAAAATGGGCATGAAATTGTCAAACATGAGATGATGAACATCACAACATGGTGGTCTGATGGAACTCCAAATTAAAGAACCCATTATTTTTAACTTTTAGGATCATATTTTGAAAGACAAATCAAATTATGGAAACACACCTTTTCTTACCACTAGTTGCTCTAAAACAAATCATGTTTCTCCTCTGCTATCATAGAGGTGGCAATATTATTGAAGAGAGTAATGGCAGGGCATAGTTATAAAATCACTATTACCATCACAGTGTTTATTGTTGGAGTAGTCGACATAATTTTGGTGAATGCCATTGATTCATGCAACGTGATCACCAAATGAGTGTAGAGGCTGAGTTTTTATAGAAGCATAAATTTATTCTTCTTGAAAACAAAATTATAACTTTTAAGTTACGTATAAAGAAACTTTTAACTAACTTTGACTATTAAAAATTAAAAAAACAGAACGTAAATAAAATAAAAGCTTGTTTGATTTTATGCTCAACTTTTATGTTTTTACTATTTTTTAGAATAAGTTTTGAATACTAAAAATTAAAAAAAAAATGCTAGAATCATTATTTCAAAAACCATATATAAAATGATAAAAGTGAAGGGTCAAAGCTAGTTTGTTTTTATTAACCTGATATAATTAACAAAAATACAATATTCTACGTCTCTTCCCTAATTTTGTAAAACAAAAGACAGAAAAATAAAAAAAAATGTTTTGATTTTTTTTTGGTTTTAAGAACAAATTTTAATTTTGTTACGGAAAAGCTTAATAAAAATACTACTATGATGCCCATCTTTTTTTTAATTTCTTTCCACAAAGTGATGATCACAAAATGAGTGCAGTATCGGAGTCTTTACATAGAGAAATATTGAAATGACAGAGGGCAAAGGCTTATTTCTCTTTTGTATTGTTATGCGATCTCTATTTCTCTTTTGCAATGAAAGTTATGCACACTTCATTATTCACTCTGGTTATTAACTGATTGGGCACTTATTAGTATTATGATCATCATATTTAAATTATTCACATCATAAATTGAAAAATGACTTTTAGATATTCTTTATCACACTTTTGTTTTACTCAAAATATGTACATTTTTTTTATCATAAAAATAGGGTTAAAGGTTAAAAACTTATGAAAATATATCAAAACTTTACTTAACACCATAAACTTTTTTGTGATCAAATCTACCAATCCAAGTTTAAAAAAGAGATTAATAATGTCAGTGCCATTAAAATTAACAAACATCCGTTTTTTTGGTTGTGGGACCCACAGTTTTTATAATAAAAATGCCAAAATACCCTCAATTAAAACGGAAAAAAAATTAAGAGTCACATGAACTTATACTTAAAATTGACCAAACACTATATAATATATATAAAAGTATCAAAATACGCCCAATCTCAAAGGGCTATTGTAGTAGAGTGTGTTAGAGATTATTAATTATAATAAAATTTTTATAATTAAAATAACTAATATAAAAAAGTTTAAGCTTGAATTGGATTGCTCTTCAATGTTAAGTTATTTATATCTCCAATCTTTTGTTTTTAGTAGACATTATGGATATCTTTTGAAAATAAGTTACTTATATCAACGATACATGGAGCTGTGTGTTTATCTTCTAGTCTATGTTATCAAATTTAAACCTGAAATTTCTTTTATATTTATGTTTAAGTTCTTTGAGAAAATTTAAGGCTATTTCTAGTAGTTAAAAAAATATTTAATTATTATGTCTAATATTTATGCTATTAAAATATTTTCAGCCCTTAATGAATAGAATAACTATAACAATAGGCTAGTTTTTATAGAAAGCGAAAAAATTGGCTCATAAAAAATTTATTGAAAAAGATTAATAATCTTTTTTAATTACAAAGATTGGTGATATAAGAATTTATTATACTTAATAATCTCTAACACACTCTAATGCAATAGCCTTTCGAAATTGGTGGTATTTTGGTACCTTTATTAAAAATCATATGGTGTTTGATGAAGTTCATGGGTATTTTTGACCCTTAACTTTTTTTGGTTTAATTAGGGGTATTTTGATACTTTCACTAAAAAAAATCATGGCTCCCATTGCTAAAAATGAGACATTTGTTAATTTTGATGGCATTGGCATTATTGAACTCTTTTTAAATTTGAATTGGTCAATTTGAACCTAAAGAAAATTTATGATGTTGGGTGAAGTTTTAGAATATTTTCATATATATTTTTGACCCTTAACCCCAAAAAATATAAACACCATGGAAACAAGTTTTTCTCTTCACACAGATTTGATCTATTTATCAAATTGTTTTTTTAAAAAAAAGACTTTGTACCTATATAATCTATGAGAATAGCGATTGTAATAACTGTAATAGACGGTAGAGTTTTTTCCCCTTCTTTTTTGAAAAATCAAAGAAGAATAAAAAAGAACATAATTGCTAATGGTCTTCGTTAATATTAAAGTCTTGTACGGTAAAAATGAACAAGAAATTGCTAAACATGAGATGAACACCACAGCACATATAGAGGTCCTATGAAAATCACAAAAAGGCAAACTCATTATTAAAGACGTGTAAGATGGGCACACATTAGAGTCAAAAGTCTTTGAAAAACATCCAAATTAAGGCAATAGACATAAACGTGTGAGAAGGGCATAATAAAATACAAAAATAGTCTATTGGGTCCCACATAATTGGAATTGGAATGTAATAAACTCTCGAATATGCTAAATAGATTCACACGAATTGGATGACAATTAATTAGAAATGCCTAAATTTTTTTCTAATTAATTGTTTTGGAAAAAACTACCACCCTCCATGAACTTCTACCAAATGGGTCAAGCTTAGCCTTAACGTAATGTCTATCTCTAGTGGCCTAAATAGTATCCGCAGCTTCAGGTTGATCAAACACAAAGTTTGAACATTTTTAAAATAATAGCATTGTGGTCTGGTGGCATATGAAAACTCTTTTCTAAAAGGAAGGTCACAAGTTTGATATCCTAATATAATCTGAGGCCTTCAGTACCTACTCAGCTGCCCTTTTCATTGAAAAAAACAAGCTCGAACATCTTTAAATACTTTTTTATGTAAGATTATGCATTGAAAGTTTAAAGACGCAAACTAAAATTATGCTAACTCCTGATTTTTTTTTTTGTTATAGTAATGCTTAAATTTGTATTAGTAGTTGGAGATTAGGGATTTTGATGTCCTGTAGTGGGTTCTGTGTGCAGTGCTCAAATGTCCCCAACCAAAAAAGAAGAAAAAAAGAAGAAGATAAATGTACTATATAACTAAAGAATACAAAAATATCATAAGAATGGAGAAGGGAAACTCATGCCCGAAAACATCAACTTTTTTAACCCTCAACTTTTTTCTTTGTTTTAATTAGAGGTATTTTGTTACTTTCACTAAAAAAAAAATCAAGGGTCCCATTGCTAATAAAGGGACATTTGTTAATTTTGATAGCTTTGGCATTATTGAGCTCTTTTTAAATTTGAATTAGCCAATTTGAACCCAAAGAATATTCACCATGTTCCGTGAAGTTTTAGTATATTTTCATATATATTTTTGACCCTTAACCTTAAAAAATACTACCTCCGGTCCTTAATATAAAATTTTATTTGACTTTTATTTTGATCCTAAATATAAGATTCCAATCCATTTTGTCTATCATATTTATACATTTTTTTCTAAGATAATCCTTCTAATAATAACAGTTCTAGCCAATACATTTGCTTAGCAAGGATATTTTAGAAAAGACAACATATATTTATTACAAATAACTAATTTAACTTATTTCTTTAATTTTCTCAAATTAGTCAACTAGCTTTTATAATTAGGAAGAGAAGTAGTATAAACACTATGAAAACCATTTTTTCTTTTCACAAGGATTTCATCGATATGTCAAATTGTTTTTTTAAAAAAAACTTTGTAGGTATATAATCTGTGAGAATAGATGATGGTGATAATTGTAATAGATAGTAGAGTTGTTTCCCCTTCTCTTTTGAAAAATCAAAGAAGAATAAAAAAAAAAGAATATCATTGTTAATGGTCTTCGTCGATGTTAAAGTCTTGTACTGTAAAAATGGACAAGACATTGCTAAACGTGAGATGACCGCCACAACACATATAGAGGTCCCACGAAAATCTTCAAAAAAACAAACTCATTATTAAAGACGTGTAAGACAGGCAAACATTAGAGTCAAAAGTCTTTGGAGAACGTCCAAATTAAGGCAATGGACATGAACGTAACGTGTGAGAAGGGCATAATAAAATACAAAACTAGTCTATTGGGTCCCACATAATTGG